AACACTTCCAAACTATTTTCCCAGCAGGCAATTAAAGGAAACTCAAAGCGCTTATGCCATTTTTTTCTTGACTTTGCGATGTCATCGAAGCATCGCGACCGCCATCCCTCCAGCGTCGATCTCCCTGTTTTTCAAAAAAACAAAGTATCCCAAAAAACTTTGTTTTCTGATTGTTGGTTTACTCTAACTTGATAATGTTATATTTTCTAGTATCCTTAGCTCATCGTTTTAACAATACTCAACCTACAAGTAATTCCCTTAGATTTCTGATTCATGTATATGAAACAAAAAATCTTGATTATTCATTGTATGAATGCAATTTTTTCTAAACTATGCAACGATACTGAAACGAAAATGCCACAATTATTTCTGAATACGTCAAATTCTAATTTGGTCAACAATTGTCTAAAAAATATTAGTTCATGATATTATTACATTTGAAAATGTTATTTTCCATTGCAGCTTAAAAAAATCCTTAAAACAGCTTTGTAACTTTCCCAAACTCTTCACGCAATAAGAGAACTCAAAAGTGTTTTAAAATGTCCCAAAAACTTGTTTTTCTTGTGTACGTGTACAATTAGCATAACATCGCTACACTTATTGGATTTTTCATAATTTCCTTAGCTCATCGTTTTGGAAAATCTCAACCCGTACAAAGTAAAACCCTCTTAGATTTTGATTATTGTTTATGTGCAAACACAAAATCTTAGATTTCTTTGCTATGAATGCCAATTATCTGAAACTATGCAACATACTGAAAAACGAAAAAATTCACCGTTTATTCTGAAAGTACGGCAAGTTAAATACTAGTCTACAATTTTCAAACCAAATAATTGGTTCTTGTCTTTATTCACAATTGGAAATGTTATTTTTCAATTACAGCTTAAAAAAATTTTCTCAAAAATTTGTAATCTTTCAAACTATCAGCCGCAATAGAGAACCTCCAAAATGTTTATTCAAGTCCCCAAAAACTTGTTTTTACTGGTTGGTATGACTATTAATTCAGATAATTTTGACATTGCATTTCCATTAGCTTCATATTTTTGTCAAAATACTCAACCGTACAGATATTCCCTTAGATTTCTGATTTTTAGAAACAAAAAAAATCTATGACTTTATTCTTGTATGAATGCAATTTTTTTCTCTGAAATACATGAGAATATTGAAACACGAAAATTCCAAGATTATTCATTTGAAGTACGGGTGGAGCAAATTCCAATTTGGTCAACAAATTGTACTAAAAAAATGGTTCATGTATTTATACATTTGAAATGTAACTTTCCTTGCAGCTAAAAAAATTCCTTAAAACTTTGATACATTTCAAAACTTCAGCGGCAATAAAGAACTCAAAGTGTTTTAAAGTCCCAAAAACTCCTAGAGCATTTTCTTGTGTCGGTGACTTCTCTAAGTTGATAGTTTGACTTTCTAGTCTCCCATTCACGCTATATCATTCGTTTTTTGTTTAAAATCTCAAACTGTACAAAGACTAAACCCTTATTATTCTGATTTATCTTTGTATGAATGCAATCCTTACCGAAAAACTATCCTCACATACTTGAAACGAAAAATTCACAGTTTATTCCTTGAATGTACGGGCAAGTTTAAATTACGTCTACATGTCAAATAAATATTTCGTTCATTGTTTTATTACAATTGACAATGTTAGTTTCAATTAGCAGCTTTAAAAATTTTCTCAAACTTTGTAATTCAAAAAATCTTTCAACGCGCAAATAGATAACTCAAATATGTTTTAAAATGTCCCAAAAACTTTTTTTTCTGCACTGTTGTTACTTTTAATGATAATTTTGACTTTTTACATCTTCCTTAGTTTCATGTTTTTGTAAATACTCAACCGTACAAAGTAATTCCTTAGATTTCTGATTTTGTATATGAAACAAAAAATCTTGATTTATCTTTGTATAAATGCGACTTTCTCTGAAACTATGCAAGATACTGAAACCAAAATTTCACAGTTTATTCTTGAAGGTACGGCAAGTTCAAATAGGTTCAGCAATTGTCAAAAAATATTTGCTCCAGGTTTTATTTACAATTGAAATGCTAGTTTTCAATCAACGGTCTTTCAGCGGTTTTTGAAAAATACTTTTCATTTATTCTATAAAATTGGTTGTTGTAAGCTTCCATTATTTCAGGATTTCACGATTAAGAGGGCAAGAATTGAATTTTGACGATTTTTTGATAACACAACAAAACAACTTCTTATATATAATACTTAGAGAATACGGTTACACTTTTCTTTCCTAAACTATGACTCTCTCGTCTACCCTCATGAAACCTCCATGACGAGTCCTTAGCACGATGCTCACTGTTGAGATATTCACACGTGGTTACTCTCAAATCTAATTAAAGGCATGATATAATTTCGGCGCACGGGGGTACGCTTCATAATTCTAACACACTCCCCCGGTTGAATACTTGTAATTCAACAAGATATAATTAATTTCAACAAAACAGAACAATAGCATTATAATGAATTTCCAATAATTAATAACAATCGTCTCTTCTTCTAATTTCTCCGATTATAGCAGCGTTTCTTTTTGCCTTTCTACTAGATACACTAATCTCTGCTTGGTCTTTGTCTGGTACAGTTTCTAACCTAGTACGATCAGTTTTATTTTCTGAACTACATTCACTAAGTTGAACTTCTAGCGGGATAAGATGTTTTAACGACCTGGTTAAAATAGATGTACCCTTCCTATTTGGGACCTTGACCTTGGCAGCACGGACATTCTTATCATTACCGATTATGAGGTCTTCTACCTTACAGATTTTCCAAAAATTACGCTTCGACTGCTCATCATATAAGACAACAATATCACCTACAGAGACTTGTGGCTTTACGTCTAACTTCTTAGAACTAACGATTTCACGCAAACTCGACAAATATTCCTCCTTCCAACGCCTTGAAAAATCATTAAGTATTTTTCGGTGATATTTTGCTCTCCGAGTTAAAGATTCTTGTGTACTTACAATTTCGAACAAACTGTCATTAGGATCATCTAAAATACGTCGACCATAAATAAGGTGTGACGGAGTTAACGCATATGATATACCATCGGTATCGTCGTACACATATGTGATAGGCCTTGAGTTGATTACCGATTCAACCTCTACCAAATTAGTACTAATTTCGTCGAATGTAAGTGAGGCTCTGCCTATTATTTTCCTAAGACAACGCTTGACGGACCTCACCATCCTTTCCCATACACCTCCCCAGAACGCGGCTCTTTGGGCGATAAACTGCCAAACAACGCCCTTCCCTGCAAGCTGAGCTCGTACAACCTTAGAAAGAAGAATTTTCTTAACTTCCTTCGAGGCTGCTTGAAATGTCTTAGCATTGTCAGATAGTATCCTTCTAGGCAAGCCTCTCCTGGCACTAAAACGTCTGAATGCCTTAAAAAACGTATCAACATCTAGGCTCTCCACTAATTCAAGATGTACTGCTCTGGTGGACAAGCATGTAAACAAGCAAATGTACATTTTTGACTGTTGCTTAGACTTATTTTGCGACACGTATAATGGCCCAGCAAAATCTAAGCCTATGTTTGAAAACGGTGGACCATCATCGACTCTATACTTAGGGAGATCTAAACACGGAATAGTACTGTACGGAAGGCCTTCAAGCCTTCTACAGAGGATACATGTTTTAAGTAAACGCTTAACGACCTCTCTCCCCCGGAGTATCCAATACCTACTCCTTAAAGCACATAATGTTTCTCTCACCC